TGGAGAATGATGTATTCTTCAGAGTAAGTAGTAGTATTCATCTAGAATTATGCAACTTAACTGATCCTATTTGGTCTATCACTATAGAAATACAGTTTTTGTAATTTGAGGAATATTATCCATTTTGTTTTATGTAATTTAGTGATATTTAGATAGACTAAATATTTCCAAAGTTCTTTAACATACCTTGTATTAAAGAAGAGGACTTCTTTTTTTAAACTTTGAAATAAAATGTTCACATTTGGCCCTAATCCTCTTGCGTAAATACATATCTAGATTATGTTAATTATTGTTGACACTCATAATGTGAGAGTGGAGCATGCACAATATTACTTTATATCATTATGTATATGTGCATCATATTCCATGTTATGCCTTTATCTCTATTATTATCTCTATTATCTTGCCACCTGGTAGCAGGTGTAAACTTCTGGTAACAACCTATTTCTAAATAAGAACTAGTGTTTTTTGTTCAACATATTGTACAGTTTGAAGTTTGAACTAACAAAAAACTGTTGCAACTGGCTCTGAATGTGCAACAGAGAGCTCTGTGTTTTATTCTTGAAACATTGTTTAGCTGTCCTTTTAGAGGCTTCAGATAGAGCTGAGCATGTATTTGTAAATGCATGAGTGTATGTGTGGTTGGGGGGAAGGGTTTGGAATACCGTCTGTGGGTAAGACAGTGGTCTGAGCCTATCGTAGTCCTCCTGTCCTGCTGTATCCCAAAGGCCCAGATTCACTGGTTTCCCATCCACCATCACATTGGCAGAGTAGTTGTCAAAGCTGCAGGAAGGCGGACAGCACACTGAGTAAAAGGCAGTTAACAGAAAGGGAACGCACACCTAGTGGATTCTGTTGCATTTTCAAACGTATTTGAGGGAATCGAATACCCAATATAGAGAGTAAAAACCAGAACTTCTAGATTCTGCTCCAAAAGTAAGAAAACCTCATTTTAAATTCAGTTCAATTGTATTTGTATAACGCCAAATCACAACACAAGTTATCTCAGGAAGGTTTTCAAATAGACCAGGTCTAGACTGTACTCATTGTACAGTAATTTATGTAAATTAAATCATACTGACATTAATTATTATTAGCAAGTCTTCAAACATTACCTTACTCGATAGTACTTTATGCACTTCACTCCTTATAGGTACATAAGGAGGACAAGTTTCATTTTACAGAGAAATCATGATATTTTTCTACAAGGATTTTGTTATAGTAATTATTGGGGGGCTCTTATTCAGAGGAAGAGTGGGTCGTCCTCTAATCGGAAGGTTGTTGATTCGATCCCCGGCTCCTCCTGCCACATGTCGTAGTATCTTTGAGCAAGATACTGAACCCTGAATTGCTCCTGACGCTGTGCATCGTGTGTGAATGTGTATGAATGAGTTAGTTTCTGTTTGTAGACTTTTTGCCATCACTGAGTGAATGTGTGTGAAAGGGTGAATGTAGTATGTAATGTAAAAGTACTTTGAGTGGTTGGAAGACTAGAAAGGCGCTATACAAGTACAGGTCCATTTACCATTTACCAATCCAGTACAGGAATATCATCAGTTAAAAGAATGTGTCAATATCCGTACTTGTAATTGTTTTATTTTTTCTTACTCTTGTGATTAACTCAATATTGATGCTGTTCTGTAAAGACTTTTCTAATTAATATAGCAACTTCTGATCTGATTCCAGTCCCCACTTCTTGTTTAAGCCCCACCCATTCAGAGAACATACGGATACGAATACAGATCATTTTGTTGGTTGAACTGATAAAAATATTGGTGTGCTCACTTATTCCTAGTAATTATTATTTGTGATTAACTCAGGTGCACCTTTTGACTTGTTGACGATGTAAATTGCCACCAGGTGGTATAGTATACTTACTGCAATAATTTTACTTTTCAGAAATACACTTTAACACTTTATTGCTGAGACTCATATGAGAAGATCAATACCAGTGTCATCTCTATCTGTTAAATGGTCTACAACCAGCAGCTGCTCAGCTTAGCTTGGCGTAAAGACTGGAGACAGGGGGAAACAGCTAGCCTGACACTGTCCAAAGGCCAAAAAAAAAAAAAACTAGCACACCTCTAAATCTCACTAATTAACATATTACATCTCCCTACAAAAAGTGTAAAAACAACAAGTTGTGGATTTAAAGAGGTTACGTGCAAATACACCAGTACATTTCTTGCCTGAGGTTGCCAGGCAACGAGCGTAGGCAGGTAATCATTATTTCAGCCTGTGTGTGTGTGTATAAAAAAAATAGTGAAAAAAAAAATTTCCCCCTAGGGGATCAATAAAGTATATCTTCTTCTTCTTCTTCTTCTTCTTCTTCCTCTTAATCACTGCTCCCAGAAGAAATAGCCCGGCCCATGACCCACATTAAAACCACTGCTTAGTGTTTTTTGACTTGGGTTTGTGTTATATCTCATTAAACACATTGGATATTACCAGACATTTCTCCAAGTCTTTAGCAAGTCCAAAGTCATTTTTCCTTGTGCAAGTCAAGTCAAATCGAGAAACAGGTTATGTTAAGTCAATTTGAGTCCTTATTTAAGGCAAGTCATCAAAACAGTGACTCGAGTCCACATCTCTGCATATTACATGTTAATTAGTGAGCTTTAGAGGTTCTAGGAGGTGTCTTTTTGAACTGTAGACCGAACCAGGCGAGCTTCTGTTTACTGGACAGACATGAGGTTGATCTTTTCATGTAGCTCTCTGCAAGAAGGAAAACATTTCCCAAAATGTAAAACTCTTCGTTCAGGCTCTATCTGAGGAAACTTGTCTTGAAAAGATCAAGTGGTCGAAGCATCATCATTGGAGCTTAGTGTGTAGTTATCCACTAAAATATCAAGATAAACATCATGGTATGGAAACTCATTGAGGAACTGTTTGACAAAAGAAATCTGAAATCAAGGTTTACTCACTCGCTCACTCGCTGAAATCAAGGTTTACTTTACTCGCTCAGTGTTTAGAGCTAAAATAACCAGTGTATTTGGTGAATCCAGCAAATGAAATACCTGATAAACCAAAGCACTGATATGGTCCTGTAACATGAAGCCACTGCTTATATAAACATACAGTGAGCATTTGCAGCAGTGGGTGCTTTACTCACACGGTGGGGATGTATTCACCAGGGAAGGCATTGGTGGTGTAGCTAATCAGCAGACAGGTCTTACCCACAGCCCTGAGGAAGAGGGACAGCAGAGGATATATGAGCACAAATGTATAGTACAATTCCACACAAACTATTACTGTATGCATCACTGTATGTGTGAGTGCACGCGCCGGCTGCTACTCCCTTTTACTGTGCCACAGACACTGGCCTATATTCATGTTGCCTGAGGGACACAGTAGCCTTCTATGATACACTACCAGCCCCCGCTCACACACACACAAACACAAACACACACACATAGTCAGTCACTCACTCATATGCACAGACACAACCTACACCCCCCAATACTGTACTGCACTGACACAAGCCGCAGGATGCCACACAGACTGGAGGTGACATGGATGGGTATCGGTATTGGCTCATGCATGGAGTAATGAGCAATTCTGTGTGCATGTCGCCATGGACACAGAAAATGGTGGTGACACACAGTGCCAATATGTGTGAGGGTGCAATGAGACTGATTTGAGGTCAGTGAGTTTTTTTGGTTGGGACAGAGAGCAGGACAGAGAGGAATAGAGGATGAGAAAATAACAAGAGGGGAGGTGTATATAGCTGTTGTAAATGGGGGGGAAAGAATCACCCCGGGAGCATGCCCCCCCACCCCCCAGATTTGGGCTAAGCCCCTGGCCAACAAGCCGATACATTAAAGATACATATGAAGGAACTACTAATGTTTATGATACAATTGACCACTATTATGATGCAGTGCAATGTTACATGGTCTGATTTAACACAGCAAGATTCCACGTGATACGATACGATTCAAAGCAATATAATGCTATGCAATTCAATATGGTACAGATAGTTTGATTGTATTTCTTAGAGAGGAGGAATCAATTTAATGTAAAATTATTGGTCACATTTATAAATAATAAAGGCATAAAGCCTCTACTAATAATTATATGTACATTTTTATACTATATATTAGAAATGATGAATCCTGAAATTCATTCCAAATTGTATCCAGTACACACTTTTTTAATTAGGACAGTCACATCTTGAACTTCTATGTGAATCTCACCATCTCTTGTACTTTGTGGCGAGAAAAACTGACAAAATTGTACAAATAACGGAAAACAAGTACATCTGAGCCCACCCTCCCTGCCACACCCCCAGTTTGTGATACAGAATTTCTGTTAGAAATTCAGTTTCCAAGCCATCAACATATATAAAAATGGTTGACATGACGGCTCTGATTGCCCCCTGGTGGCTGACTGCAGTACAGGTCATGAAACCCGCTGCTTCCATGTTGCAGATGGGACATAGGCCAAATAAAAAAATCAAAGTACACATCGAATACATTTTTCACAAAGATAGTTTCTGGCAAGTGCTCATTTTCATTATCAGTTTGGTTTTAATGAGTTACTTTAAGCTATAAAAAGGGTGTTTCACATCATGATTGACAGCTGAGCCCTGCTTGCGGTTGAGTTGGCAGGTGTATGGGCGAGATCTTGATACTGCGGCGCCAACCCGATCACTACTGCACAGACAGAGATTTTCATATGTCAATGTTCCAAGCTGAATGCTACTAACTTTAAGTGATTTTTGACATTTAGGAATTCCAAGCGATCTTTTTCTGCTCATATCGTCTGTGATATACAGTATTAATCTACTCTAGAGGAGGAGTTTGAGATTAATCCTAGAATTCTGAGTGAAAGATTCCTGCCAGACATGTAAGACATACAGTATATACAAATAGTCTGCTTGGAACAATAATGTGTGCACTGGTGGCTTCAAGTTTCTACATCACACATTGCATACTGGACCAGGGTTGACTTCCAAAGTATTTGTGATGTCACAAATCATGCTCATTGGCCCCGCCCCTTAAAATCATATTTTTAATTAGCACATTCCCACGCTTCAACTTTCAGCAGATGAATGTGAAAACATCCTTCCAGTGTCAAACTCTGCACAGACATCATTCTGCACAGTCAAGATCAAACAGCACACCATTGCAACAAAAAGAAATACTGATTTCTTTTTTTTTTTTTACTGGAGGGGGACTTTAAATATCATGTGAAAAAGGCAAAATCCTTCTCAGATTCTAACATTTTACATCAAAGTTGTTTAGTTCCGGCATTCTGGCTTGAACTGACTTCAATCTTAGGCCTATTCTTAATTTTTTTTAACTTACATTATAGCCTGGGCTAATTTGTCCTCCTACATCTGCACCTAGCAATGATATCAATATTTTAAAACAGAAATAACAAATTCTGCCACAAATATCAGCCCACATGAACCAGATTGGGGTATGGATGCCGCAAGACAGGCTCAGTGTGAGCAGAATTAGGGCAGCGGGGCCTGTTTGCCACTGACAGGGCCACAAATTCCTTAGCGTGCATCAGCACTTCAGCCTGCCTCCAGTGGCCTACGAGGCGTGTAGGTGTTCCCGCATAGCATCCCGAGGCGCCACCGTCACAATGAACCGGAGGCCACGACATGAACAAACCGAATGCGATCACAAAGCGGGAAATCCATCGAGCATCGGGGGGCAGACGACAGAACAGCAGGGCGACCGACAGATCGGTGAGCCCCAGCCCCTTTTCCAACATAGCATCCTCCCATCATCCATCCTTCCGTGGACGCTTCACTGAATCACACGAGAAAATGTGCTGTTGCTCCCCGTGTGTGAGCGTGCTCTTACCCGTCGCCGACCACCACACATTTGATCGCTTGCATTTGTGCAGACTCTGGAGGCTTTCAGGAGCCGGCGCTGGTGGTTTAATAGATCCGATAGTGTGCGCTGAGGTCTCGGATGAGAGCAGCGGGCCAGTCCGCTCGGCGATGGAGCCGCAGTGAAAGGGGTCGATGACGAGCAGCGCCGAATGACTCCGGAAAATACCGACTGTGTTTAAAGGGACAGAGAGCAATCCAATCAGAAGACGAGAGGATTCACTTCGTTCACTTCCGTCTTCGCTTATCCTTTTTTTTTTTAACTTAGTACGTTACTACTACTACTATTATTAGTAGGCTACTATAACTGCTACTACTACTACTACCACTACTAGGCTACTACTATTACTTCTGCTACTACTACTACTACTACATAG